GGTCAATGCAATGATTTCAGATTTTTTTATATATAGGTCACCAATGGTCAATAAAAATCAAGACAAAGCATTTTGAGATGATACACTTATTCAGTTTCTGAGTTCTCAGTAGAGGGAATACTAAAAACAACAGGATACTTTGCCTAGACTGCAAAAGCCAGCTGATGATCTACATGCGTGGACCCTGTTCTCCCCAGCAAATACAAGCATACTCAAGTGACTAATTTGCATATCTATTAACTGTATGTAAATAAAAAGAACTAATATTATTAATAAAGCACTTCAATGTCAAACAGGATTAATTTCCATGAATTTCAGAAGTTTTAAAAAAAGTTTAGGTGCAGTGAAAATGAACTTAGTTGTGTAAGCAGAAATTGCAGATTTTGTAGAATTCACTTCTCAGGACCAACTGAACTTAAAATTGATTCAACGATGTTGGCTGTTTTCTTAGCTAATTACCAATTTATGTAGTCACTTTAAAATTGAAAAATGAGTTTTGCCTATACATTATGCAATAAATATTTAGAAATAAATTAGGACTACGGTTGCGAGGTGTTATAGTGATTCGTATATAGCATGGTTTTGACAAAACAAACATTTTTAAATAATAATTAGTGTAATATTCAAAATAAACACCACTGTTCTGCAAATAATGACATACATTTGTATGTTTGAATAATGACCATTAAAATTTGTCTTTAAGCCATTGGTGGGAATAGTGACATATTAAATATGTTTCAAGGACAAATCCAAACAAGTGACCTGGTGACTGGAAATCATTGCACACAGCTGTATGTGAAACTACATTTTGTGTTTCTAAATAGTTTAGAATGTGTACATGCCTTTGTTGATCTTAGTGTAATTTTTATTGTTGGCCATTATTTTGTTTTCATAAATAATATTTATAATCAAAAATCCAGTACATGTAAGTGCAATGCAGTTGTTAAGGGCTATGAGTATGGCCAACACCGTAGACCACAGAAGCAGATTTCAGATTGGCCATTTAGAGTCCATCAAAACAAAATTTAACCCAAATTAATATTTTAACTAAAAAATAATTACCAGAAATTAATACTTGTGGCCTGTATAATAAATGTTGTGTTTAATCACAACTGTACCAACCAACCACTAAAAATAAAACTCTCAGTAGTAATAATAGAATCACAATTTTGACCAATGTGCTTTTAGAAGAGAGAGGCAAAGTTGGCCGTGTTAAACAGTTTCTTTTTTGTGTTGGTGTGGCGGGTGGGTGGGTGGGGGTCACTTAGGTACGCACCAATATTTAGGTAAATATTTTGATAAGGCAGATTATCAAACTTTCAGGGGATACGTTACTTTTAATCAAATAATACACTTTATAGATATGAACTGATACGCTGAAAATATCTAGAGTTTTCCAATGTACATGTATAATATTCACTGAAAACAAACACTTGAAAGCCTTAGGGGTGACAAGGTGTCACAAAAAACATACATTCAAGATGTTTAAAACATACACATTGAGGCTCCTCGTTTAATGCGAAAAGGGGTATTTTTCTTCATCATGATTTAAGGTGGAAAAACTCATAGTGGTCAGGTATTAATGTGAAATGTACGCTTTTAATTGTACATATTTTAATTAATATATACATGTATCATCATAAATGTAAGACATATTTCCTGTAAAAACCCGTCTATAATTTCGTATTAGTTAATGTGGAAAGTTTTTAATTGACTGTCAATCAGTTTTTGTTTGAGATAAACTGTCTTTATATATAACTGTAATTATACAATATTCCCTCGTATCTTTCTTCGTTTCGCTGGGGGAAATACGAGTGTAAGAGTGTAAGAGACGTATCACTTAGAGTCCAAGTTTTGTTGCCAAGCTGTTTAATAAACCAAATTCAGAATTGTTTATTTGTCTTTCTTTTGGATTTTGTTTTGAAATAGTAAATATTCGTGCACTCAAGCACCAAACACGTTCCTGTTTAGGTGTTGAAAATTCAGGTTGCTTACCGACTCACATTGGGTTTCACTAAATTTGTTATCACCCTCCATTCTGTGTAAATAATTGATGTAAATTTTGTATGGATGGTAACATAATATTCAGACCTTAGAATGTTCTTTTGAAAAATACATTGTATTCACCATGCAGACACACAACACATTCTCTAAGACAGACCGGAAACGGAAACAAGACAAAAACAAAAGATTTTTCAAGTTAGCGTGGGGGAAATAACGTTGCTAAGTATTATCGTCAGGGAAAGCTATTGTTTAAGCTAGTCTGTGATTGATTGCTGGCAATGTTTGGGGGATTTTGACCAGTTTGTGACGTAGGCTTGTCTTTAGAGAATTCACGGAGAGTGGCCAATCACTAGGATGCTAATATACATAAATTTGTCATACGTTATATTATTTTCTATCAACAGTTAGGTAATAACTTTGCTTGTGTGTGAGACATTTTAAAAGTTATGTTTCAAATACTACCAGGATAAAAAACATATTTTGTCATTAAAAAAATATAAAAATAATAACATTACTTTCACTTTCAGAAGCATTCTACCATATTTTATTCAAAATACGTGTACTATACGAATTTTATTCCAATAGAATCATGTAAGACATGATCAGATAGATACAACCACTGGTATAATCGACTGTAATTGCCAAATACTGTTCAATCATCATGAAAAATCAAATAGATTTTTCCTCCGTACCAAACTGACCTGTTTATTTTCGAATCACTGATAAATTGGTTGGATCAATATAGCCCTGTGTTTCGACCGCTACACCACCTTACAAAGCCTGGAACAACAGACATACACACAGGGCTAGGGACGTCAGTACATCAACTTTTCGCGTATAAATAACAAAGCGTGGTCGCATACATGTATAACGACGACAACGTGTATGTGTTCTCACGTTAAATCGCGCAGTCCATCCATGATCTGACATGGCCGTTGCGCGTGGGGGGCAACCTTACGTACATTGTACGTTCTGGGACCTGACATACTTCATCAAGGAAGTAGTGGTCTCAAGTGTCGCCGTTATACGAGCTCGTTGAAGAAATCTTGACCATCTCGATTGGTAAACTGCGTTACAATTCAATAAGTCTCCCCGGTTCCCGGGTCGTTTACTCACCTATATTGCTATATATCTGCCCCAGAAACACAAGCAGGGTCGCGACGAGCAGAAAGCATGATGTCTCTGGTACCATGATCGCCACGGGATGGCTAAAATACAAGCAATATACCCTAACGATACGGCATTCGATCTTCAATGAGAATGCGTGTAAGTGATGTATGCTAATCACTTTCAATCATGGCGCCCTTAATCTGCATAAGAAAGGCGATCGTGACCTTTGTTGATTTTCTAGGGAACTCCATCGTTTCTCGAAGCAAAACACACATATCGCATTGATAGTGTTGATGACGCATGCAATTTCCCACGTATTTCATACACGTGTTTCTCATTAAAATGCCTGTTATTCATGTTCCCGCCTCCCCGTGCGTTGGTCCGCGGAGCAGGGTTACCCCTAGCCCTGCGTACAGTGCTGTGTGTACGGGACGCGTTCGGTTGATAGATGTCCCCACCACAGCCCTGCGTACCTCCATAGACAAAGTCCGGGAGGGAGCGCACCGTAATTG